ATGCAATTTGTATGCAGTGCGATTGGAGCCATACATTTTGTATGGCTTTATTCGCACTCTACCCGCACCAAAAAGGTGCAGGACCCTTTTTTGGGTCCGCACTAGAATCTGCTCGCATGGGTATTCACACCTATGCGATCCGATTTTGCACATCGCACCGCGTTTTGCGGACCGATTTTGGGGTGTTAACACACCTGCATCGGTTTGCATGAACGGGGTGCGATTCTGATGCGGCGTGGAATTCGCACAGAAAACGCTGCAAATTCCGCACCGCGTCAGTGTGAACCAGGGCTAACTAAACGCGTAGAAGATAGAAGCTGATTGGTCACCATGCACATCTGTTTCAGATTCTATCTGCTCCTTCTTTGAGTGTCTGATGTTTTTACAGCGGCTGTTTTTGGCTTTTGACATTTTTTTTTTTTCTACAGCCAGTAAACTCCCCAGCATGTTATCCTATGTGTCCATGCACACACAGACTGGAATCAACGATTTTTGGCTGGAAAAAGCCCCCAGGACTAGTGGGCTTCTGGAAGAGTTTTTTTTTTTTTTTTAGCAGTAAAAACGCTTTAACGTGGCTAAACACAGTAAATTGTGGCAAACCAGCATTTTTGGAAGTCTTTTTGACTAAAAATAATTTTTTTTTGTTGGTAAAAAAAAAAGCACAAACACGAAAAACTGCGCTAAACGCTAATACAAAACCGCTGAAAAACTCATGTTTTTAACGTGACTTTACACAGCTAACGTTACCAGTGTTATTAAAACACCGCGTGTGCATGGAGCCTTAGTGAGTGCAGCAGGTCCTGATTATCAGTTCTTAGGCTAGGTTCTCATCTGTGCAGGTGGTGCCGCTGCAGTTCCGCACGAAAATCCGTGCAGCCGCACCACCCGCACAGAGAAATGCGGACCCGTGGGCGGGTGCCATTATTTCTAATGGCACGCCGCCCGCACTGGAAAACGCAATTATTCTGGGAACCGAGGTTCCCGTGTGGGTTGCATTTTCGGAAGAAGTGCAGGGACTTCTGTGCATCTCATGGGGCACGGGAGTCCATTGAAATGAATGGGCTCTCGTGCCTGTGCAAAACGCAGCCCGCACGGCCGCATAGATGTGAACCAGGGCTTATCCTGGGTTTATTTAAGATTGGAGTTCTTCCTGATGTACAGAACAAGCTCTCCTTCCACAGCAGGGCTGGGAGTTTTGATAATCTGGAAGTCAGTTTGCTGCGTTAGTCTTTGGCACACAAGAAAAGCTTTGGAGCGGTTTGAAGTGTACTTGGCAGCGGGCACATGTCTCCGGTCTGATATGGCACCGCGGCGGGGTTGGTTATCACTTAGCCTGGGCAAGGCTATCCAATGAAGTTTCCATTGCTAATCTGATATCTTCTTTTGTTACTGGATTTATAACTTGTAGCATTTCACATTATCATCCTCGCAGGGAGGAAACAAAAACAAGTTCGCTTTGTGTTTCAGGCAATTAATGCCACGTGGCAACATAGCTTGTACATTACTGTGCCCTGGACTGCTCCTTAGCCTCGTGTGCGGCACTGGTGATGGCTTACTATTGAAGAATGCCGCTGAGGCTTATTTTTAAGCTTTTCTTTTTCTAAACACTCCAGTCGGAAAAGTAAAACCTGTTTGGAATCCATTATCATGGGCACTTCATACCAGTGAATTTTTTTGTGAGTCCCCGGTTATACCACGGTTCTTGGTGCAGTATAGTTAAAGGGGACCTGTCACTACAAATTGCACATCCGTTGAATGAGTCAGCATTTCCATATCAAAGGATTATATAGAGTTCAGCTTTGTGTCTTTTAAGGTTCTTTGCATCAAAAGCAAGAAAAAAATTAAAAGAATTCTTTGTAATATAGTAATATGATTTGCTTTACTAAACAAAAATGCTGTACTTACAAACTACTGAACATTTCAGGAAAAGAATACAGGACATACAGAGTATTACAAAATATCCCAGCCACGGCACCACCTGCCTGGAGGTTGCATGTTCTCCCTGTGCCTGTGTGGGTTTCCTCCAGGTACTCCGGTTTCCTCCCACGCTCCAAAGACATGCTGGTAGGTTAATTGGCTCCTGTCTAAATTGGCCCTAGTATGTGTATGTATGAATGTAAGTTACGGACCTTAGATTGTACACCCCTTGAGGGTTAGGGACTGATGTGAATATAATATATATATGTAAAGCGCTGCGTAAATTGATGGCGTTATACAAGTACTTGTAATAAATAATAAATTAATTAGATCTGCTTTATTTGGTTGCAATCTGCTTTATTTGTTGCATACCAGTATTAATCTGCTATCTGATTAGGAGAAATGTATTTTGTCACTTGAAGAGAACCGAACTATCGCACCGCCCCTTAAAATACAGAGCAAGGTGTAGTTCTGTACGTTGTCTACGGTTCTTTGAAGACTGCCATTCAACAGATGAAACCCAACTCTCACAGAGCTTTTGTGAGCTATATGGTCACAAAGCAGCACCGTATTTGCCCACCAGGTGGAGGTAGGGTGATGTCTAATGGCAGTCGATGTTTTGATCATAGATTACACTGGATTACGGTTTTGCAGTATCCTAATAAATCTTCTACAAATCTTCTACAACTGCACAACACCTTCAATAAATAAATCTGGGTGTTGAGCCCTTGCCCAATATGAGCCTCCAGGTAGGCAGCTTTCACTATGCTATCTCCTTATCCAGCCTATAGTGATCAACAAGTGGATTTACATGTTTACTGAAGGTGCTAACAAGTAATTTTTACAAATTATCAACCCCATATCACCACCCCCAGTAGGTTTTAACTTGTCTGAATCCACCCTTACATGTCCCTCTGGGGATGGAAACCGTGATCCAGACCAGTGACTGCAAGCTTTACTTTGGTGGTGTTTGTTATTTAGGGCCCTTTACCATCTTTTCATGTGTTATGTCCCATTGTTGACATAGTTGCATGATTTGGCAAAATGATTGGGCTGTCCTTGCACCCTACCATGCTGAAAATCATACAAGAACGTTTTTATTCTAGGGCAATGCACTACTGTGCCTCATGGAATGCTACAATGCAGGCGCATTGCCTTCGTTTGTTGGGGTGTTTAAAATGAATGGTACAGAAACACTTGTTGCATGTGATCCTGCAAGGTGGAATTGTGAATGTGCCCCATCTTTTCTTTATTTAAAGTGTACTAAAACCCACATCAGTAAATTCAGTCTGTATATGCAGTAAAGCATGTTTGTTATACTCACTGTGGAACCTAAGGGGTTAATATTCTGCATTAAGTAAAAAAGCCATTTGATCCTGTCTTCTCTGATCCTCTCCTTCCACTGCCCCCAATCCATCTGCTGATAGTACAGAGCTCTAGAAGTCACTGCACATGCTCAGTTTAGTGTGTATGGCTAGATTTTTTTTTTGTTCCGGAGGGTGCATGTGATAAGCACAGGGCCAATCAGCATTGTCCAGACAGAGGGTCAGGGGTCATGCAGCCTCATAGAACAGTCAGAGCAGAATGAAATCTCCTCCTGCAAGCTTTTACCAGTGTTTGGCCAGACACTGAAAGAAGTCAAAAGACTGTTATATACTGCTGATGACAAAAGGTATTTAGCAGTTTATATTTACTAAAATAAAAGCATTTCCATGTTCTGTGTACTGTGGGAGACCAGATATAGTGAATGGAGGGTCCTGGATTTAGTAAATCTTAAATAGAAGAAAACAGTTTGTGCCTCTGAGAGTCCATTTGGAAAAACGAGTCAAATAAAATGTCTTTGTACAATTATTATACAGGGTGTATATAGTGCTAACCGTTTGAGCAGGTCTTTACAACATGAGGGCGACAGTACAGTTACAATACAGGAGAAATCAGAAGGCCCCGTTCATTAACTAAAAATACATTTGATTTTTTTTCACACATTTGGCTCTATCATGTAACATCTTATGCCTTTTAAGTCCTTTGTTTAAAAATGTAATCTAAGGAAAGCTGTTTGGAAGCACCTGGTAGATCCTTGTATGTCTCATGGCTGAGATCTCAGAGCTTTGGGTCCACACACCTTTAGGGCCACCACACGAGGATGACTCCAGGTTGTTGTCTCTTGCTCTATTATCTACTGCCATTCAGAAAATGTGAGCTGAGCTCTGGTTGGTCACTCGGAGCAGCACAGACACTTCTCCCCCAACCCCCTTATTGTTAGAACTCAGTTTTGTTGTATCCGGTTACAGAATTCACTGGAAGCCGCTGCCCCGGGCTCACTTCCAGGATATTGAGAAAGTCCAGAGACGCTATTTTCTCTGCCTCGCACTTCTATTGCATCCTGTTTATCTTTGCTGCAGAAGGATGACCAGGAAGTCCAGCTGGACTGGGAGCTGCGACTTAAAAATATGTGCATTCTGCTTTCTGTTAGGCAGGTGGTCTGATCATGGAGGTTCCGGAAGTTGCATGAAGATGCGCAAATGGGACCTTATGCATTTTTGTATAAAGAACAATATCGTACTGAATCGCTTACTTGCTTGGCTCTCCAACCTACCATTCCCATTCAGGGTGGGCAGGAGTCCTCCTTTACCCTGATGAGGTTTTAATTTGTGAAAATGCAGCAATAGCAGTGAGACTTCATAGGGCAGAGCCTTAAACCCTTATTGGGGATGTTTGCATCCCCAGTGTCGGTTCTTCGGCAGTCTTCGGGTCCCCGGCGCTACCATCTTGCTTGTGGGAAGCTGGCTTTGACTTCCTTGTGTTTCACAGCTGGCTTCCCATTGCACATGCACTGGACGCACTGTGCTTTCTCAATGGTCCCGCAGTCTCCAGGGATATGTGACGTATCCCAGGAGGTTGCGGGTGGAGGAGCCATCTTCCGCTCGGAGAGCAGGAGAATAACGGAACTTCACTTTTCAGGTGAAGTTAAACTTCAATTTTTTTTTTTTTTTTTTTAGGAAGCCCTAGTAGTCCACATTTCACTGATGCAGAATTGTACCTTTTCCTCAAACGGATCTAACATGTATTTTTCTTTTATTACAGATCAATGAACTCAGTCATGTCCAAATACCTATTATGTTAATGCCCGATGACTTCAAAGCTTATTCGAAAATCAAGGTGGACAATCACCTTTTTAACAAGTAAGTAACACCTTGTCACAGTGCAGGGAAGTATTTTATGGACATTTGTAGTCCCAGAGATGTCCTACATAAATATCACAATGCTTGTAGATGGGGATTGAGTGGGATTGGCTTTACATGCGCAGTCTAAGGTCTGTTACTTTTGTTTTTCAGAGAAAATATGCCCAGTCACTTTAAGTTTAAGGAATATTGCCCCATGGTCTTCCGTAATCTGAGAGAGAGGTTTGGAATCGATGATCAAGATTTTCAGGTAGGAAAACTTCAATTTATCCTTGCTTTTCTTGCTTTCTGCTCTTCCTCTTTAGAATTAATGTCAAACTGGAGGAATCTTCACCAAATAGGGTTTGGGCCCTTTAAACACTTGATCTCTGGAAGATTTTACCCCCTTCATGACTAGGCCATTTTTTGTGGCCCTGCATTACTTGAAACTGACATTTGAACGGTCATGCATTGCTGTACCCTAAATTAAATTTATTTAATTTTTTGCATACAAATAGAGCTTACTTTTGGTGGTATTTGATCACCACTGGGGTTTTTTCTATTTTTTGATATATAAATGAAAATAGAGTGAAAATTCTGAGAAAAACAATATTTTTTTTTTTTACTTTCTGCTATAAAATATATCCAATAAAAAAATGTAAAATATCTAATTTCTTCGCAAAATGTATGCCAAAATGTATTCTGCTACACATTTTTGGTTAAAAAAATCCAGTAAGCGTAAATGAATTCCTTTGCGTGAAAGTTATAGTGTCTACAAACTGTAGGAAATATACTGGAATTTTTATTTATCTTTTCTTATACTACTAATGGTGGCGATCAGTGGCTTATAGTCGGATTGTGATAGTATGGCTGGCAATCTGACATTGACACTTTGTGGGAACTGACTAACTGCCACTGACATCACCAGTGATACTAATACAGTGATCAGTGCTAATATTATACACTGACACTGTACTAATTACACTGGCTGGAAAGGGAGCAATTAAAGGGTTAGCTGTGTGCCTAACAAGTGTGAAGTGTTTACAGTGTTCTGATTTTACTAAGGGATGTGCCAGTTTTTTACTCCCTGTCAGGACAGAGCTCTGTGTTTACAATCACAGAGCTCTCTTCTGTCATACGCTCTATAAATCATTGGCCGGGACCGCTGATTGGCTTGTGCTGTAACAAATCACAGCACAGCCGGGAAAGCAGGGGCGTGTTGCGCCCCTTACCGGAAAGGCTGGATCATGTATCCAATACGTGATCCAGTGCAGAGCGGTCACCCCCGAAGCAGTATATCTGTGTGGAGCATTCCACAACTAGTTAACACATGTCACCCAGTTTTAATTTCTCTACCTATGTGATTTGACAACAAATATGTTAAGCCATGTAACTGAAACCTTTAACACATGTCTGAGACTTCAGGGCACAATGTAAGTATACATATTCCATACCTGGCCGACCCCTGTGGAAGCTGAGAATCCCTGGAATAGCCAGCACAAGTGATCCTTACTATCTTTTAGGTCTCACGTGGCGCTATTCAAAGAACACTTTGCATTTAGTCAATGAGTGCCAAGTGGTCTCTGTGTGCATAAGGTGGCGGGGTGTCAATGTCACAATCTCCATCTTGTCCAATCACAAGACACTGAGCAAACACACGGTTCTCTTTATGACCCCCGTGCTGAGTGGGTGCCCCCTTACTATGCAGCAAGGCCGCTGCTTGGCACGGGATCTAGAGTACTACAGTGATTCTTTGCTTCCACATGGATCGGCCAGGTATGGTCCAAGCTGGACCAGTATAACTTCAGGGAAAAAAAGCATACCTGAAATTCAGCTTTACATTCAAGGAGCTCAGTATTTTGCTATTGGTCAAATTTATTTTTTAAAACTCATATAACTGTGTAAACCAATCCGTTCTCATTTCTGGATGTTGGATGTGACCGTTATCTGTGTACTTTTGAGATGGGAGATCAGCTGTTTTGAAATGACATTTTGTACATTTTTAGAGGGCAGCAATTTCAGCATTAATTTATCTCTGAGATGTGTGTAGACATATTTCTTTTCCTGTGGAGGAAGTGAAAAGCATGGGGAGAAGAAGAAACAACATTAGTACGGTAACTAGAAAAGATACAATTTCTGGAGAAATTGTGTGAAGTGTTCTTACCTCCACTCTGCTGCCTGCTCACACACCTGGGTTCCTATGGCAACTCACTCTACAGCAAGGGCAGAGAAGAGCGGTTAAAAACAAACTGCTCCAACTTGCTCACTTCACTGCGGTTGCCATTTTCAAACGGTTGTAGTTTAAAAATTATAAATCCTACACCGAAGAGCTTTATATTGTGAGAATCACAAGATCCAGGCCTACATTTTGATGCATAGTATGTCTCTAAAATATTACAAATGAAGGCACAGTTGCAGTTTAGAAATTGCCCTTCAAATTTGAGGTGGCTAGAGTGGATTTTCAATGAATGTCAATGGGCGGCTTGAGTTGCAAACAAATGGTCATATTGTGAAAACTATCAGGACTATGGCTTAGCCATTTTTAGTGGCAGCAGGGATAGCTGAACGTTTTGATATAAGATATGTGTAGGTGGGCTTGAAAGGGAGTGATGGCAGTTTAGAAATCATGTCCTGATTTTTCAGCTCACACTCTAACTTTTGTCAGCTCCCACTCTAGTTTTGAACATTCTGCCATTCATTCATATGGGACCAATTTCAGCACAAAAACGCAGATATTTCGTGAACCATTCAGCGAAACGTTCCACAAAGTAATAGCACACCAATTGGGAACAATCCGCGCGTTTCGGTATATTCCTGTTTATGTAGTGTAAAAACTGTGGGAGGAGTTAGGGTGGTAAATTTGGCTCTAATAATAAGAATATATATGTGAGATAACCGTAAGTGGTCTGCCATGCAAGAACACTTAGCTACTGCAGTGCTTATACCTATATACCACCCATTAGACCAAGTGGAACTAAACATACTGATATAGGTTCAAGGCTTGCCTCTGGTGATAACTGTCAAGATTGCCTGTGAGCTTATGTCTGCTCTCAACTGAACTGTCAAGACCTCAAATTGCTGGTGTCATAGCTGATCACTGGAGATCCAACAAAGGCCAAGATGGCAGCTTTCCTCTTTTTTTTTCTTAAGTGGTGGTAAAGTCCCGTTTATACCTACAGGTAAGCCTATAATAAGACTTATCTGTAGGTACAGTAAATACCTCCTGAACCTTCACTGTTTAGGAGATATTTAGTAGCAGCCAATGACATCACCAGTGCATGCACTGCGCATGCCACCCATTGAGAGAGCTGTGCCTTAACCACGACTCCTGCACACATGCGTGGAAGTGAATTCGTCGCTCGGCCATTCAAGCTGCTGGAGCCCGCGAACCCAGAAGGAAGACAGGGTGAAGATGGAAGCCGTGTCATGTCAGCGGTGACAGCATGCTGCTGGAGGGCTTCGTTTTCTGTCTTCGTTTTCAGTCTGTCATAAAATGCTAGTATGTGGATGTATGCAAACTCATTATGCTCTTAACTTGCAGGGTGAAGATTTTTTTTTTTTTTGCGGTTTACAAGCTCGTCTTAAGTTGTATGAATGTGCTTTCTATAGGTGTAGGCCATTTATGTACCTCCTGAAGCCTGACTGGGATACTCCCAGGATATTGCCAAGAGAGGCCTAGTTGTTACTACTCACCTCCACTATCACAGGAGTGAGCTGTTTTGCTGATTCAGCCACCTTTATATGCTCTCTCTCCCCTGATGCAGTAGCTCTGAGTTTAGAGTTTGAGAGCCCCCTTCATGACCAGGCCATTTTTTGCTATTCGGCACTTCGCTACACTAACTGGCAATTGCGTGGTCATGCAATACTGTACGCAAATGTAATTTGTCATTTTTTTCACACAAATGGAGCTTTCTTTTGTTGGTATTTGATCAACGCTGGATTTTTAATTTTTCTATTATATAAAGGAAAAAAAGATTGAAAATTTGGAAAAAAAATATTTTTTGCTTTCTGCTATAAAAAATATCCAATATAAAATGTAAAAAAAAAAAATCTAATTTCTTCAGAAATTTAGACCAAAATGCATCTGCTAGATGTCTTTGGTAAAAAAAAAAAAATTTCAATAAGTGTTTATTGGTTTGTGTGAAAGATATGTCTATGAACTATGGTATATACATTATACTGGAATTTTTATTCTATACTAGTAATGGCGGTGTTCTGCGGTGTATAGTGTGGTGGGCAATCTGACACTAATTGACACTTTGTGGGAACTAACTGTCACTGACACCAATACAGTGAACAGTACTATACTAGTAATATGTCTCTTAGGGGTTAACATTTAGGGGCAATCCAAAGGGTTGACTGTGTGCCTAGTATGTGCTCTTTTTACTAAGCAATGTGCCAGTTTTTATTCTCTGTTTTGCAGGAGAGTACAGACAGCAGCGTTGTGCCGTTTTTTGAGAGGCCTGTGTTGTGTACCAATCTGTCATAGATCATTGGCTGGGCCCCGCTGATCGACTTGTGCTGTAGTGAATGACAGCAGAGCCGAGGGCGGCTAATGCACGCACCCCCTACCTGGAAAAGCTGGATCATGCACATGTATGTGATCCAGTGCAGACCCACACTGTAGCAGTATATGTACAGTGCGCCATCTGCAAGCAGTTAAAACCTTTATCCCAAAAGGAAAAAAAAATGTTGTAACTTTGTAAGTATTAGCTGGACTTTGTCTTCAGTTTGTCAGTGTATTTTCATCTGCTAGTCCATCTGACAGTTCTGCCCCCTGGGCTCCTTCATCCAGAGTGGGAACACTCTAATACAGGAGGTGTATATAAATAAAGAACCAGCGCCACGGAAATTATATAAAACGGTAAGCTGCAAAACCTAGCCTATAAACTTATAGGATATACAAAACTTCAAAAAAATAGGTTGTGCTTAAATACATGCAAAAGTATAACAAGAAAATAAATAACAAAACAATAAGAAACAATATTTTAAATCAAAATAAAATCCAGCAAAAATGAAAGTCCAAAAGTTCAAATAATCAATAATGTCCAAAATAATTCATCACCAAGTAAATCCACCACCAAAAATGGTTAAATAGAACTCACCAGAGTAATATGCTGATTGCTGAAAAACCAGCATATAGTACTTGTTGTTCTGGGAGAAATGAATAATATGGTGACAACAACACTGAAGAAATGAGGGATGAACTCCAACAGATGTGCTGCAAAGTTGAAAATCCACTCCAAAGGTGGTTTAGTATCCAAACTGAGA